AAAATTTTACTGACACTGCATCTTGACCAATCTAAACTTTGCCTTGTTTTATTCCGCATGTAGAGATACCTTCCTTTGGTTTAACAACTATTGATTAGAACTGTGAGCGTACAATTTGTGATGCTCCTGAGTAAAGTGGTGTGCTCTTAAGAATTATAGCAGGACAGCAAGTGACATCCAGGACAGTGCCAGACAACCTCTGGTCATTGTGAAGTTAAGCTGATTCCTTTCTCAAATCTAAGGGAGATTTCTTACACTTAAAAAATAGAATTGTGGAAGAGGAGTGAAGATGAATAAAGAAAAGATTAATATTGTAACGAAGTTCGAGCTCTCCTGGAAAACCTTGAATAGCACAGGGCCCCATGGATATCTAGGAGACCCAGTGATAAGTATGTCCTTGGTAATTTAGCTGCTTCTGTGTGTTAGTGGTGACTGCTTTCTCCCACCCATTCCCAAGCTGATTTCAATAAAATACTTTGACTTCTCCATAAAGAAAACCAGAGAAAAATGACTTTAGGATAAAGGTAACAAATTTTGATCAATGTCATGTTTAAAGGTATTTATTTTCTTAAAATAAGGTTTCTAAGTATCATTTTTCTGTGACTAATAGCATATATAACAAAAATATGTTTCACATATATATAACATACACTCACACCTAAAAAGGTGTATATAATATCTATTCACCTGATTATGGTTGAAGAAGCAAAAAAAATCTTGAATACATAAGCAAGAGTCCTAGCCCCGTGACCTGTGAGGTGGTTGTAGGAAACTGCCGACTTCCTCTGTCTGCTTGTTTCTCAGACACATTACGTTGAATCAGCAAGTACACTGTGACTGCTCAGTTATGATCTTTGAGTGCTTTTCACGAGGAACTTTCTCTTTCCATGACTTGAGTCAAACTCTCACTCCCTTACATATCACAGAATGCCTAAAATACTATGGCAAAAAATTAAATTTCTAAGTCATAATTTTTTCATCAAAAAACTTTATAAATGGATGCTAATGTTTTCAGTTTACAGATAATGAAATCAAAGCTCCATCAATTTCCACAGGTTTCCCCAAATTACACAGTTGACAAATGCTTGTGTCAGTATTCACATACACGCTCTTTTGTGTATCACCCCAAAGTGCTTACTGAACTGAGTTCTGTGACAGGTATTAGAGAATGATTGTTAAATATGGAAGACTAGTGTCTGGTTTTAAAGACCTTACTTTTTATTTATTTATTTATTTATTGTTGAGATAGAATCTTATTCTGTTGCCCAGACTAGAGTGCCATTGGCCCCAGCCTAGTTCACTGAAACCCCAAACTCCTGGGCTTAAACAATCTTCCTGTCTCAGCCTCTTGAGTAGCTGGTACTACATATACCCACCACCATATTCAGCTAATTTTCCTATTTTTAGTAGAGACAGGTTCTTGCTCTTGCTCGGGCTTCTCTCAAACTCCAGACCTTGAACAATCCTCCCATCTCAGCTTCGTGGAGTACTAGGATTATAGGCACAAGTCTCTGCAGCTAGTTAAGACCTTACATTTTAGTAGCAGGAAATAGGCAATAATAATGATTTTAAAATCTTGTATAGGCTTGGCGCCTGTGGCTCAAGTGGCTAAGGCGCCAGCCACATATACCTAAGGTGGCGGGTTTGAATCCAGCCCGGGCCTGCCAAACAAAAATGATGGCTGCAACCAAAAAATAGCCAGGCATTGTGGCAGGTGCCTGTGGTCCCAGCTACTTGGGAGGCAGAGGCGGGAGACTCGCTTGAGCCCAGGAGTTGGAGGTTGCTGTGAGCTGTGGTGCCACAGCACTCTACCCAGGGGGACAGCTTGAGGCTCTGTCTCAAAAAAAAAAAAAAAATCTTGTATAAATAAACTTCAAAATTCCAGATACTGACATGTTCTCTAAACTAAAAGAAAGAGAGTGAGGTAATAAATAGAGACAACTGGTGGATCACTTATGCAAATGGTCTGGGAAGGTCGGTTGGAGGATGTGCTATGTAAGGTTAAAAATATAAATGAGAATAAAGGCGGCCAGGTGGTGTGGCTGACGCCTGTAATCCTAGCACTCTGTGAGGCTGAGGTGGGTAGATTGCCTGAACTCAGGAGTTGCAGACCAGGCTGAGCAAGAGGGTAACCATGTCTTTACTAAAAATAGAAAAATTAGCCAGGCATTGTGGTGGGCATAGCTATTGTGCCTGCTACTTAGAGGCTGAGACACGAGGATCACTTGGGCCCAGGCGTTTGAGATTGCTGTAAGCTAGGCTCATAACATGGCCCTCCAGCCTGGGCAACAGAGAGAGACTGTCTCCAAATAAATAAATAAGAAGAAAAAGAGACATGTTGAAAAAGAACAGAAGCAAGAACACACTCTATACAATGAAATGAGTTTAGCTTCTTTAAGGAAGAAAGAACCTTCACACCTATAAATGTGTATATAATATCTATTCACCTGACTATGGTTCAAGAAGCAAAAAAATCTTGAATACATAAGCAAGAGTCCTAGCCTCATGGCTTGCGTTGAAGGTCAATGCAGTTAGCCAGCAGGAAACATGAAGGGAAAATGGAAGGCGCTTATCTGTGTTTAAAATCTGAATTTTTTTTCATAAAGTTAACCTGCTTACCTGTTCTGGAATACTCAAACTTCAAGGATAATTAGGATCCAACTACAGAAATTAGAGTTTCACATTTCTTGGGAATCACTAGAGGGGAGTAAAGGATAAAACTGGATCATTATTTCCATGTGAGTTCAATCAGCTGGCAAAAAATCCTTCTTTGCATGTGGAAAAGACACATGGCAAAGGTTATCACTGTCTGTAAGTGTATTT